CTGATAAATCGAATCAATATTCTAATATGAAACCATGAATTTGGATCGACCGTCAAAGACGATGCTGTCTAGATATTTATAGAAAAAAATCTAAGCACACTTGTAAAGAAATAACAACTGAAAAGTGAAGTATGATAGTTTTATGATACTTTTAGTTTATAGGGGTTACGAAGGATTTTCTGGATACCTTTTTGGTAACTTATAAATTTGTAAGTATTCCAAAATCGTTCAAGTTAACTTGCAAGACAATATAACCTAGATAAGGTTTATAAAAGTTTAAAAAAGTGTTTGTCATTACATAGTTGTTAATATATAAAATTACTAAATAATTGTTATCATGCCAAATTAAATCAAGTCGTAACATGGTGGAAATTTTGAAAATGTTATAATATTTATTAGGATAAATTTTCATTGTAATATCATATTGTTTCTCTCGTTCTTCCCCACCTCACACCTCATTCACTTTTGTTATTAATAAATGTTTTGTTTTATCAAAATTTCCCTCCTTACGGAAAAGGTCTCACGTTGTGATAATAGCTAAAGTCCCCTCTTCAAATACTCTCTCTGAAATTCGGAAAATTTGCATATGGTATTCGTTGTCCAAAGTATTAGAGAGGGTCATGTATGAACAACTAAATCAGATTTTTTGTGTTTTGTACTATTGGACTTCAGCAATGCGTTCGATGCGCTAGATCACAGTGTACTTCACAAAAAGTTTGAGTATTTTGGACTGAGCTATCCAGCTGCGCATTTTTTAAGAGTTGTTTGGAGGGCCGATGCCAGAGAGTAGTGCTGAGTAGTAATGTTTTTAGTTTTGTTGCTACTAAGAAAGGAGTACTACAGGGAAGTGGTTGGGACCGTTATTATTTTCAATCTATACAGCAGACTTTTTGTATCTTATCGTATTCTGCTCATGGTCTGCTTCTTAATAATGCTAAACTACTTCTCTTTGGTCTTAATAGAGAGATACTATAGTACATTGATTATAATTTTAATATAGTTTTAAATAATGTTAGGTTACTACCTGTGGACGTCTGTAGAAACTTCGGAATTCTGATGGATGTTAATAAGACCATGTGGCAATATTAATACAAAAATCATTTTTTAAAATGAATGTACATGTTTAAGAACATTGGACTAAAACTGTCTGATAGTCTAATACTATTGAACTTGAGTATGGAGACATTGTTTGTCCGTGTTTTGCTTTAAAAAATAAAGGATGTCTGCAAAAAATTCAGAATTTTTGTTTACGTTATTTCTATCACCTCAGAAAATATGATCATATTAGTGACCCTCTAAAACAGTCTAAGTGGTTGATTCTCTCTGAAAGGTATTACTTGCACCTTGCCACTCTATTTGATTAATTGTAGAATCTCTTTTTATATATTTTTACGTATACACACATAACGTCACAAATGCCTTCCTATCAGGTCACCAAAAAGATGTACAGGAAGAAAAGAAACTGCAATAAAAGAAGATGTAGAAACTACTATCAGAAAAATAATATACTCGTCTTACTTAAAAAGAAAACGTCTAAAATGATAGATAGTTTCGAATGGAAAACAGGAATATTTATTATCTGATTGAAACTTGTGTAAATGAACATGGCAGGACAAAAATTTAAAAAGAGTGAAGCAAGCTTTCACTGGAATAAAAGCAAAATGGATTTGTCGATGGTGGCTTTTTAGAATTTCAATCAAAATGGATTGGAGACTATGATGAATGCTTTTGAAGACTAATTACTGGAGAAGCTAGGTCTTATTCCTCCTGGGTCTTTTATGTTCATGGATAATACCACCACGACTCAAGAACACCTATAAAAATACCCACGTTTTCTTGGAGAAAAAATGACATCATTCATTGCCGTAATTTAAATAAGATGCAATTTCAGAAAGATGTGGCGAAAAAGGAGCCTCTGCAGATTGTAATTTGCATAAACCTCTTTGTACTAAATTTGGTGGGAATTAAACTCAATAGAATTGGTATGGGTGCAAGTGCTTTTAAAATGAAATGAAATTGAAACCCAGAAAAAGAAAAACAGAGAATTGTGAAAAATGTGAGTAAGTGCGTGCAATATGTGTTTCAAATAAAAGAAAGAATGTGGGAGGCTGATATGCTAGAAAACACATAATGCCTAAATTTACCAATGAAGCTGTATTGTAAATAGCAATTTTTATTAAACATTCATAGAGACCTTGATGACAGTTTTTTGATATATGCGGGCGACGTTCATTTTTTTTTAGAATCCGGTGTTCAGAGAAAAGTTATATTAGTAATGTTCCAAGCTTCGGTGGAAAAATTTTCCTCCGAATGTCAAGCCGGTAGCGAAATATTCCTTATTGACGAAACTTACGTAAAATTAAAAAAATTCCCAGATTTCTTATTCGCGTTGTTATTGACGCCGGGCATTGTCGCGGACATTTTCACGGCTTCCAGAATAAACGGCAAAGCAATTTTCGCGAAAACAACAAAAGAACGAATAATACGAAACCGCTGGATTTGAGTTTATTATTTAACACTTCGCGTAGGCTTTTTAAAAAGTACCGCGGCAGTTCACTTGGAAGGTTTACCGGTAGGTGCAATTGTTTCAGTTAAAAATAAAACTTTTTAAATACGTAACATTTCGCAAGTCGTCAGCAAAGCAAAGTTTCAGCCAACCAACAACATGCGTTTTATATGTTCTGGATTCTGTTGTTTTATTTTTTATTTATTGTTGTTTTATTTTATTTATTTTATTTTCTTGACGCGATGGTGGATGCACATAATGATGTATATTGTGTTTTAATATAAGATATACAGTGTCTGACAATAGCGTTCGGAATAATTTATATCAGTAGTTTACAAAATACAGGGCGTCGAATTAAAAAAAGACTATTTAATAAATAACTTGAATAACGAATAATGAATAACTTGACCGATTTTGTTGAAATTTGGTAGTCTTGTTTGTTGTGATTAGATAAATCATTTCGGACTATTTAAATTAAAATTATGAAGTACAGCGACCTATCTATTATTTTTGACAAAAAAATATGTGCCATTGACTTTTTACTTTTTTTTCAAATTAAGTAACAAAAAATGTAACTTTGTTTCGCTTGAATTTTTTTCGTATCTTGCATTATTTTCGAAAATAAAACTAATTCCGATAGGTTTTTTATTAGTATCCTTTATTTAGATTCCTTGGAATTTGGCAATTTTGTATGTAGTGATAAGAGGCTAACTAACTCCATGGAGATGCAATAAATCTTTTTTTTGTCTGAAAGTCAGCGACAGATTTAAAGTTTGATTTTATTTCGTATCCTGCATTATTTTCGAAAAAACAAAAAACCAATTCAAAAATTATGCATTTTAGGACCCATGTTCACATGAAAAATTATCTTATTTTTTCAAGTACTAATTCATTCGAACCCTATTTTTGGACATACTTTATATAATTTATGATGATCACCGTAAAAAAAATTTTTTTGTTCGTTTGTCCGTTCTCAGTTCTCCGTTCTCCGTTTTCGTCTTTTCGTTTTTCCTGAATAACTTTCGAACCGTTGGAGCTACAAAATTGAAATTTACCTCCTTTTTAATCCTCCACGAGACACATAAGCTTATAAGAAATGACCCTGATCCGACGCTAGTATCCATCTTTTTTTCGCAATTTTCGACTGTTTTTTGGACCTTGCTATGAAACACGATAAGTGTCCTAAATTTGAATCAATCGACTTCATATTTGCAGCTTTGCCCCGCGATAGAACCTATTGAAAGTGAGTGGGGGGGGGGGGGTGCTGGGGGGTCGGGAAGAGGGTCTACAAAAAAGACCATTTTTCAAAAACCGTTCACAGGACCGAAAAAATTCTTGAACCAGAAGACGCAGAGGAAACGACTCCATAAACTTTTATTATTGACAATTCTTCAAAAATATACAGGGTGTGCCGCAAGGGAAATAGCTTTGTTTCCATTTTAACGTGATGCAAATATCCCGACGCGCTGAGACAATAATGCCATCTGGACATGGACTGGACATATATTTCGAAAAATGTTACCCATAAAATAACAAATGCTTTATGAAACCTTTGTTTATAAGTATTCAAAATTGAAATTATAGACGAACGTTTTTGAAGAGGAGATCCATTGATTCTAATCTAATATGTCAATATCAATATATTTAGATTCCCTTCCGAAAGCTAAATCCTAATAAAAATCGGAGTATAACCTTTATTAGAAGCACATCCTTGGAACGTCTCAACTTATTCCTCGACCTAGGAATAATAATGGATTTAAGAATAATTTATGACGGAAATATTTATAATATTGTAAAAATACCTAATGCGCAGCCTATGTTACATTGTCAAGCAGAAGCTTTTGCTTCTGATATGGCTACCCAACTTCAAAATATATATTTAAAATATCTCTCTTACATAAAACATAAGGTAACATAACATAAGATCCCTCCATGGAAGAACAGCTATTGCAAACGAATTTCCCAATTGTTTTTTTCCTGTTTTGTTGCATCTATAGTTCTACTCCAACATTTTTTTTTCTATTTTAGTTTAGTTTAATTTAAGAACATTGTAGCTAACAGCGAATAGTTATTATCGATTTTTGTTATCCGTTAGTATTCCAAATAAATAAATAAATGACCTAGATTTCTTGTACACGTCAGGTTTTGCTTACATTTAGTGAGAAAAATGACTTTGTGAACGTGAAAAGATGTTTTTTGATATTTCTATTACAAAGACTGGCAGCAAGAATGCCGCAATACACGATGAACATTTGAATTCCAAAGAATTTCTAAAAAAAATGTTGATTGACCTGGTTGAATTGAAATTTAATGCAAGAGAATAAGTCGAATGATAAAGAAAGAGAAGCTTGGTTTTATTTTCTCGACCTAATTCTGTGCCGCGTTAACGGCCAGCTAATTAAAACGAATCATTGAAATTAAGGGGGTTGTTAAAAAAATTATGATTAACGATAGGCAATCGGCGTGGCGCTAACGAGAGTATTTCTTTTCGTAGCAGGATTGTAAAGAGAAACAACCGCAGGATGAACATCACTGGCACCATCAGACTGTTCTCGGTCTTCGTCGCTCTGATGGTTTTTCTGGCTGGCGTATCTTCGGCACCGGCATCGTATCCCACCGAATACGACAGTGAGTAACATTATTTCTCTTATTATTGGCAACGCGAAATGGCATTTATTAAAAAATATCGCCCGAGCTCATCAAGTTCCCCTATACTGAACAAAAAAAACAACATCCGGGCCGTTTTCTTTGATATTAAGGGCGCCCTTATTTAAACACGGACCCCCGTTTTAGAATCAAGAGAATGCTCGACATTAACCCGCCGCGTTGTGTAAACGTTCGAGCGTTCTCTCAGAAGTAAATCTCGGGATTTAAATCCGTAAGAGACTATCCGAAATTTAATAACTGAGAACGCGATGATATATGCAACCAACCATACGCTTGCGATTTTCGCCACTTGTGATACGATAATTTACACTTTTGATAACGTTGGTGGGATCAACGTTCATCGCTGGCGCACTGTAGGTAGATTTCTTAATCTCAAAATTTCAATGGTTTAGGTTTATTCAGATTTAAAGAAATATTTCCATTGTATATTTGTATTGCATTGTATAAACGTTTTCAAATAGGCACACTATTTTAAATAAAAAATAATACATTTCATTTAAAAAAAATGTTATTGTTTTTTAATATATGAATACAATTTAATATTATGAGATTAAAACTAAATGCAACTGTATTTTAAAGTCTTAACTATTAGTAAAATTATTATATTATCGTTGGGGTACAGTATAGTTCAACCGAAATTTGCCAGTTGTTAGTGGCCGTTTTTTTTTTCGCAAGTTAGTATATTATTATTCGATACAAATATCTCGAAAACGATTTATTTATTCTATATCTTTCATTTATAAATCATCTCGCTACTATAATTTTCTTTAAAAAAACGGAAGTAAGAAAATTTTGTGGTAATTAAAAATTCAAGATTTTGGGGTGGAACTAGCGCCCCCTACATATCATGTAAAAAAAATTAATGTAAATTGTATTTTTTATCTCCAAAAACTCCCGAGTTCAAGTTTTCATGTCGATATCTCAAAAACAGCTTGACCTATAAAATAATAACTATTCCGAGAAGTAAATTTCAACACCCTGTATTTTTCTACTGAACATTTTACTAACGCATATTTGGCTCAATATAACTATTTTCACGAATTTAATCTAATTCGTGTCCTCACAAAATAAAAAAAATATATGAAATCAATAGGCAGGTCTTATTCTTATATTGGTAAGCATTTACAAAAGATATAATTTAAGACCGCATCCTGTGGGATAATGGCCCATTAATAAGGGACGCCGGCCATATCTCAAGAACCGGTATTCCTGCAACTTAGAAAAAAAATATTTGTAGGCAAAATTTAGGTAAACTGTAAAATAAAAAAAAGGGTTTTCTCAAAAATATTTCATATTAACCTTTATCAAAATGAGTTGTAACGTAATCTACTCTACATAAGGAAACTTTTTTGTTTGAAGTATTTTTTTCTATCTCGTCAAATTAAGGGTGGGGAACGGTCAAATACTGATTTAGAAAAAGTTGAATAACTTTCTTTGGCTGATCCGATTTCGACGAACTTAGTTTAGTTTTAAAGAGTATTTATAGCAGCTTCGAATGGCACGTCAATATCACGATATTAGTTCTTTTATGCTAAGCTATTTTTATGATTTTCTCGAAAATTTCAAATATATTTTTAGCTAGGATGAAAGAGCGTAAAAAAAACGCAGAGATATAAATAAAAATTAATTTAAAAAGACTTTTTTACGTAGGTATAATTGAAGCAGTATTAGAGATACACAAGAGATGAAAGGATGAGAGGAAATTGGTTTAGAAATAATTATTCAGAAAATACCTCAATATATTTATGCCTGGGCTGGGTTCCATAAAAAAAAATCTAACAAAAAAGAAAACTTAACACTAAACAAAACATTATCACTAAACAAAACGCAACTACACATATAACAAAATTATTAATGGCGCCCCAAATGTTCAAACTGGCGTCCATTATATTCAATGCAGCCTTCTCTGTGTAGAAAGCCATTGAAATTCCTTGAATGGCGCTCTTTGTTCTTTCTATCATGTTCTGCCGTGTAGTTGGTCATGTTGCATAGACGATATCTTTAATTCTGCGCCACAAATAAAAATCTAAGCACGTTAGATCAGACATGAGAAAAAAGGATAAATAAACCTAATGCACCTTTTATGGTTATAATTACGTAGCTGGCCATATATACTTGTTCTGATTATCCACTGAACCAATAGAGACGATTTAACTATTACTGATTATTGACGATTATTATGGACAAATTAGGACAAAATCAAAGAAGTTAGGCCACCTAGCGGCCATTTTGTGAACCTGAAAATAATTTCCAGCTTTTTTCTTGGCCGATTTACCTATAAGTATTAGTTTTTCTAAGTTGTAAGACTAACTAAAATATTGTTTCTCACTGCGAAATGGTCATCTCAAAACACCATAATACGTAACTCGACAGAACACTTCAAAAAATTATACTTAGAAACTGACATTACAGCTTGACTAACATTTCTCTCGAACATGGTTTCTGAAGACAGACTGTTAATAATAATAATAATAATAATAATCTCTTTATTATATTTAGAATACAATCAGGGTATTATGGATTTCGTATAGTAGGTCAATATTGATCATGCAAATGAGGCAGAAAAATACATTAAAAATTTATATTATAAATATTACAGAGACGACAAACATTAATAGGTAAAATATTCGTTTAATTATAATTGTAAAAACAGTTTTCTAGGAGGAAAAACTTTAGTTTGCATTTAAAAATGTTTACATTACTACTGCTTGTCTATTGTAGACTCTAATACCGGTGTTTGTAAAAGATTTTCTTGAAAATTACAGTCTATTTTTTTGATGGAGAAACAGTCTTTATTACTTGTATTATAGTCGTGGAAATCTCCCTTTTTTGTAAAGTATTTTTACTTTCATATGCCCATAAACAAACTTCTGATATGTATGTATACGCTAAAGGCAGTATTTTAAATTTCCGGAAGAGGGGCCTGCACGAGCTATCCGGCGACACTCCAGCAATATACCTTAGGACTTTTTTTTGGGATTTGAAAACGGATGTCGCATGACTTGAATTTCCCCAAAAGAGAATACTATAGAGTAATCTCGAATAGATGTGAGCATGGTAGAAATTTATCATGCACTTTCCAGTCAAAACAGTTTTTTATTAGGAAACAATAACTATACAGCTTTAAGTTTTGTCCAGTTCTAGTCCTAAAAATTTAGCGTGCTTTTTTTATTTCAACGGTCTCCCCGAACGACCGGACATGCACAGAGAGATCTTTTTTGTTTTGTGGGCATTTGAATATCAGTACACTTGTTTTTTGGACATTCAAAAAGAGTTCATTGGTGTTAAAGCAGCTCTTTAGCAGTACAAGTGCTGAAAAAATTCTGTCCTGAAGAGTTTGATAACAGTGTGACGAGACTAAACTTAAATAGTCGTCAGCGAACTCTGATAGACCCAAACTGGGTAGGTGAGCAGAAAGTTGCGGTACACCCGTATCTACAGATTGGACTTGAGATTTTTTAATTTGAGACAAGTTGCCCGTCTCATGCCTAATTTCAACATACTGCCTACGGTTTGTTAAGAACGACCTGAGCCAGTTCAGAGCTATTTCACGAATTCCGTTTGCTGCCAGTGTGAGCAAATTGTTTTTGTTAAAGTGAACCATTAAATTTTTATCCTACCATATTTTCCTTTCGTTCAGATAGTAGATTCTGTTTCTATTTTACCTTCAAAACTGCCTAAGTGCTCGCAAATATCGTGATCACCAGCAGATAATTTCTCATTTTCTTTGAAAAGTGCTTTTCCGTTTTTTCCTTCAAAGTTTTCCACAATTGTCGTAACGTAGGTGAAATGGAAACATATTTTTCATTTAAGATATTATTGTGTGCAAAGTATGTATTTCTTTTTTTTAAGTAAAGCGAATGCATTATTCTTGGCATGGCAGTCTTGTCGTCGTCGTTTATTAGAGTTTCTTTTTTTGTGTGGTTTTTGGTCTCCAAATGTGGAATGGAGACACAGGAAAGTCAACTACCTGACAACCTTCATAGGTACAATACCATTCATATGTAATGTAATGTAAGAAGGGTAAATATTGGAGAAGTTGAAATAATTCGCCAGGTATTAAAAATAGGTATACGACATATTTAACAAAAGTGGAAGGTTTTTGTAAGATCTTTCAGAAAAAATAATAATATATATGGTGTGCCATTTAAGTAAATCGAGATTTTTCAATTTAAAATGGCACAAATATATTCATTGCTCATATCTTTTACGTCATCTTACATTTAAAAAACGACGAATTTCAGTCTTACAATTCAATATTTATTTATAACTAATTGTTAGTGGTTGATTGGTAATACAAATTTGGTTAACTTAGAATATTTGGATTTCATAATAATTTTGCTTGCAAATTTGAAATGTTTGGCCAGAGTGCGGAGGCGAAATCCGCGACGCCCACTTTTCAACTACTCCATTAAAAGCAATTGTAAAACTTTAACGGCCACATCAAATTCGTCGCAGTTATCCGCGACCAGCTGTTAGACTAATGAAACGGGGTGTTGATCCGAACGGCCCGTAACATTAAGCCTCCGTTAATTCCGTTATCTACTTAATTAATGGGCGATTGCACGCCGCTGCGCGTCCATTTGGGACGTCTTTTTTCATCAATCTACATAAAAATATAAACAAAATGACAATAAATTTATCCATCGTGTCGGCGGTGTAGCGTGATGACGCGCGTTTCGTTTTATTTAATAACAGACGTCGGTTCTGTTCGTGTCGGGGCTAATTGCCACCGGACGAGGCTAAAAATTCATATTTGCAACTAGAAACCGGAAAAAAATCTCGATTTAGCCTACCTTTGTATGTGTTCATAACCCCAAGCCTGCCACCAAGATTGACCTCCCTACGAAATTTTAAACTGCAATTTTAAACTGTCCAATCGTCCTAAGGGAAGTAATGTCTAGAAGGGGATGGACATAAATTTAATCACAACAGTGAACTCGATGTAAACCGGAATGACACCATGCTACGTGATAAAAAAGTGAGGCAAATAGATAAAGACAGCTAATAATGAGGTCTTTCTCGTGCCCTTTTCGCGATTTCCGTTATTTGATGATTTTATTTGCTGAAACATTCTTACTGAACTTATTTATGCAATATTTTTATGAAATGAAATCTATCCTTACCAAGAAAATGTTCGAAAGAAGTGATAATAATATTAATATCAACTTCTTTATTTTAATTCCCTTTTACAAATGAAATAACGTCGACAGCAACAACTAATCCATATCATTGCCCAAAATATAATTCAAGGGAATATAGTTCTAGCCTCAATAACATTTCCTTGACAGCGTTCTTAAAGATTATATGTATTATAGTTTCGGTATTATTATGTCCTCAAACTTATAGAAACCGAAGTTTTTAACATCCCTCCACAAAGTTTGCCAAATTTCGTTAAATATATAGAAAAAGCAGAAAAATCGTATTGCAAATAATATAGAACAAATAATAATTAGAACAGGCGATGATAGCGATAGTGATACTGATATATTAAGTGAATAATTTTAAGTAATTTAAGTAGGTAATAAAATTAATTTGTAATTTTATTTTAGATTTAAACATAAATACATATCTACATAAATAAATAAATATTGTTTACTATCTTTCCTAACAAAACCCCACATAATTAAATTCTAAGCAAAGTACGGACCTGTTCGGCCATATTTCATTCTTACAGCTTTACCGGGTCTTTCCTTAACTCTTATCAGTTAGTCACTTTCTTATATCTATGAACAGACTTTACAAAATTATCAAAATAGAAAATCCTTAACGCTTCTTCTCACATCCCTACCGATTGTTTTGATTGTATAACTTAAGCTGTCTATTATTGTACATACAGTTTATATAGGAGTGTCCCAGTATAGATATTCATTTATTTTAAGAAATTTGTATTTTGTTTTAACTGACTTGAATTGACTTTGTTTTATTCGAAATTAGTTTGTTTTTCCTAAACCACAAATTTAGTTGGTCAAATGCATTTTTGGTTTTATTTATAACCTCGAATAAGTATTCTCCAGGCACTAGGATGTTGGTGTCGTAAGCAATAAAAAAATGAATAAAATTGACCCCAGTGTACCCTGTAGGATCTCTACCCCCGCATCTAAAATTTCTAATTTCATAGCTGTTTTTTCATTTTCTCTCGGGAACCTATAGCACAAGACTTGTGGTATTTCTGTTATCCTTAATAACGGGTGTTTTTTTTTTTTCGATGTATAGAACTTTAAGTTGGAAATACTGTTCAAGATGGCGACCGATTTAACAGTTGTCAAGTGATTTATTCTCAGTTTGGTTTGGCAATTCATGATGAATAGACTCACGCCAGAACAGCGCTTGCAAATAGTGCAATTTTATTTCGAAAATAATGGTTCTGTGCGGAATACGTATCGCGCACTACGTCCATTTTATCGTCGACAAAATCGTCCATCAGAGCAGTTAATTCGATTAACCATGGAACGTTTTCGCACCACGTTTACTCTTATTGATAACTCGCATCCCCAGAGACGCCGTACGGTGCGTACAGAAGAAGCTATTGCTTTGTAGAGCATAGCATTGAGGAACACCCGAATGAGTCCATCCGCACAGGAATTGGATCTGTGTCCATCCACTTTATGGAAGGTTTTGCGGAAGGATCTTGGTTTACGTGCTTACAAAATCCAACTCGTGCAAGAATTGAAGCCAAACAATCATCAAGTAAGGCGTAGATTCGTCGAATGGGCCCAAAACGAGATTTCCGTTGTTCCCGATTTTCATAAGCGAATTTTGTTTAGCGATGAAGCGCACTTCTGGTTGAATGGCTACGTCAACAAACAAAACTGCCGCATTTGGAGCGAAGCTAATCCTCAAGTGTATGTCGAAACACCGTTACATCCAGAAAGACTGACTGTTTGTTGCGCTCTATGGGCTGGTGAAATCATTGGTCCGTACTTCTTCAAAAACGATGATGGTCAGAACGTTACAGCCAATGGTGATCGGTATAGAGCTATGATTACTAACTCTTTCATTCCTGAATTGAATAATCATGATGTCCAGGAGATGTGGTTTCAACAAGACGGCGCAACATGCCACACAACTCGAGCCACAATCGATTTATTGAAAGACACGTCTGGTGACCGCCTAATTTCACGTTTTGGACCTGTGAATTGGCCTCCAAGAGCTTGTGATTTAACACCGCTAAAATACTTTCTGCGGGCTATGTAAAGTCATTTGTGTATGCGGATAAGCCACAAACGCTTGACCATTTGGAAGACAACATTCGCCGTGTTATTGCCGATATACGGCCACAAATGTTGGAAAAAGTCAATTGGACGTCCAGATTGGACTACATTCGCGCCAGCCGTGGCGGTCATATGCCAGAAATCATATTTAAAATGTAATTCCACAAGATTATCTTTCGAATAAATAAAATTCATGTCAATCGAATAATCCATCGTTGTTTTATTGCAACTTAAAGTTCTATACATCGAACAAAAGCACCCCTTATTATTATAGTAGCTATAATTTGGTCATAATAGCAGCTATATTTGTTGTTTAATTTTATTGAAGTTTCCAATAACTCATTTTGCGCTACATAAATTTGTATAACGCCTACGAAACTTTCGAAAATATTTACGGAAAACTTGGAGGGACAGGACAGTTTACAAGTTTAACTTCGAACGAGGAAAAGCAAATGCTGTCTTTTATTATTTAAAGTTGATAATAAAATTCGCTCTTTTTTTTCATGTAATAAGTTACGAACGTGTGTAAAAGGTGGGCAGTTGTGATGGCGATATATGTTACAGACTATCCCGAAAAATGCAGCATCTCCGAAATTTTATAACGCTTTGTCAAAAGGACGCTTATCCCTGATGACTTTTTTAGCAAAGTATCGTATAAAATAGAGGCTATATTTTCTTTGTTGTTTTGTAAAGGTCAGATAAATTGCAATAATAGATTCGGATATATTTTGTATTTTTTTAAAGACTTATACACCTTGAATCGTTCCTAAATTAGGGTGACACTAATTTAACGCTATATGGAAGCAAGAATAATATGGGAATAGATCAATTGTAATAAATATCATTACTTATTTAGTACAATATAACTTAATTTGCAAATTTTAGTCATCATGACCATTAGCATGTTATGATCTTTTCACATTACGCATTTAGTTCATTTTTCACAATCCACTGTCTTTATTCCTTCTTGTAAGTAATGTCAATGTAATGTCCTTCATTTTAGAAGTTCTTGCTACAAACTCTTTTATTTAGGGTAACACCAATTTTATGGGATTTAATTAACAGTGATATTTCATCGACGACAAATTTCGTACAAAGAAATTTGTTTAAATTTACAATCTCCAGCAGTTCCTTTTTGAACACATCTTTCTGAAATTGCGTCTTCTTTAAAGTAAGTCAATGAATGATGTCATTTTCTTAAGTGATAACTGGCATCATCCATGACTATAACAGATCCAGGAATAATAAGATCTATAACTTACTGAAAGTGGTCTTCAAAAACATTATAATGAAACGCCACCACCTACAAATCCAATTTTGCTAGCGTTGTGAGTAATTATAAATCTTTTAACTTCTTTTAAATTTGTCTTCTGCCATGTTTTACTACAGGTATATTTAGCCAAGTTTTATCCAGTCTTTCTATATTAAAAGTGATTTTCTCTTTTGACTTTGTTCGTAACGAAAATTCATTTGCTTTATCCTTTTTAATTTCAGGCAGTATATAAAACAAATATTCGAACAAATTTCAACTATTTTTGTCTTGCTGCCGTAGTGCATTGAAAACAACGAGAATTATAATTTTCTCATTTTTAGAAAACACAGTTTTTCTAATTCGTTTCTTTAGGTGAATTAGTTCTCCAACTATCTTCATCTTACTAAGAATATGGAAAACGGCTAAAATTACCAAGTTCTACAGTTCGTTAATTATTTATAATTCTTTCGTATTAAGAAACATAGCATAACAGCTAGAGACCACGGATTTAGCCGCACTCAGATCCTATTACGTAAAACTTTGGCATCGATCGAGTCTACATTGTCGCGACGTGCCGTCAATATCAGATGGTATAGAAAGGACACCCTGCATCCTCCGTTTCGTAACGACAACAAACCACGCCTCCGTAAAGACGTAATTTCTGGGGAAAAAGATTTTAATTGATCGACTTTTCCATAGGCCATATACCACCCGATGTGGTGCGAAATAAACGCCGCGTCTGCCTTAAGAATTATTTTCCCAATTTACTATTAATAAATTTAGAAAATTACTTAACCCGTACAACATTAGACGGATACCGGTGAGCAAAAAAAAAAGATGACTCATCGCCCCCATTAAAACGGCTTTTGAGTAGACGTTATGCAACACGTCAGGTGTGAGGAATGCTCTCGTTAAACTCGGTCCACCTATCCAGGCCCTATTGCTGAAATTTTTATATACATACGATACCTAAAATTTCCATTATGCGATTCATAAGCACGCGCTCACGTTTCCTTGCAGACAATCTTCGAGAGCTGTTGGAGATGCTCATTCAAAAGGACAATAGCGTCGAGGACAGACTCGGCCTGCACCAAATGGTCAGGAAAGCGAGCAGGTCGCCCCAGCTGCGTCTCAGGTTCGGCAAGAGACCGGACACAACATTTCCTGTGAGTACACGCGGTTATCGAAGATGCGGCTGACATTTCCTTGATGGGCGAACTGCTATTCGGATGACACTTCTGCCACTTTTGTATCTTAGATTATATATACCCAGAAAGATGAGTAACAAAGGGCAGACAAACTATTCCACTTGTTAGTTTCCCTAACGTCGGTAGCATCACCAAAACAACGGGGAGTCACTAGAACTGGTTGGACGTTTTTTAGCGTTTCTGCACTTTGTGTACAGTCAGTTAAAGTTTACGTTGTGTGTAGTTTGCAAAAAAAGGGAAATTTGGCAAATTAACAAAACCCGGATATAGGTGGGATTAAATATCGCTTGGGTTTCTGGGCTTTGTTACGTCTCCGTGTGCATATGTTACTGGAAAACGACAGGGATAAGCGTTACTTGTCTTTAGGAATATATAATCTATGTTTTGGACATCAATGCCCATAATACAGATGTCTTATTTAACTTAACTCATTAGTTAATATATTTGGAGTAGTAGAGCTCCTTCGTCAACTTCTTTAAATCTCTTTTGCCACATTATTCCGCCGACCTAACGCAAGAATTGACGTTTTAGCCAGAAAATGAATCCGTGCAACTAAGGCTAAGATACGGGAAAAGACGGGAAAGCGGCATAGACGTAAGTTTTGCGTATAAAAAAAAAACATATGCTGCAGATACTTCTAGACTGAAATAGCTTTTGAGACTGTGTCTGCTGAGACTATAGACATTCTTTCGTGTGCTTCCGTTGCTAAATATACAGTGATGTCTAAACTATACAGTACCTACAATATATACATTGGATTGTTCTAAAAATTTGGCTAGTTCCATATGCGAAAAGGTAGCATCAATATTAATAATACGCTCCTATACCAATATTTGGTTTATTTTCAAGAAATATATGTTTTCTTCATTTTTCCACCAAAACTTCAATTAAATTATCATTACTACTACACCGGGCTCAGCAAGCTTTACAAAACATTTTGCGAAAAACATTTTAAAAACTAATTACACTAACAAAACATTAGAAACTTAAAATAAAAATTGCACACAGAAAAATGAATCAATTTTTACATTGGCTGTTGTCCTAAGCACTTTCAAATCCATTGATGTTAGTAGCCTTCTTTATCTCCGACGGATGGCGGATGACGTAACTGTCCTTGCTCTGCACCGCTGTCAAATAGACGAGTGACTCTGCTCCCCTTATATTGTACAGCATTCAGCGGTACTTTGTAAATAAACAAAAACTACTTGATTATTTTTTAACAAGCACAATACATTTCCTTTGTGAAATCAGGATTATTGACAGACCAAAAGTGTTTATTCTTTCGCATGAAAATACTACCTAAAAGATGAATCCTGCCAAACCCTGCTATAGGAGAAAATTGCTTTTATTTAACCTAGCGATTTAGACATATCCCTACATGATACATCCTTTGAAAGAAAATTTTATTTGTCCTTAGAATATGTGATAATATACCAGCTGCTCCATTATAAAATGCACTTTTCACTATTTTTGTATCTGGTGGGTCAATCATTGGTTTTGACAAACCCTGTAAAATGCAGAATTAATATTAAGAAATTCAGTTCGATACCTCCCTAAGCTATGTCCAAAATTTTAACCTTCCACTGACTCTAGTGTCGTAGTAATACAAAATTTTTGGCCACCAAAATAATTTAAATAAAAAGGACATTCAGTTGAAATACTTTGGTTGGTTAGTTGGTTTAGTTATGTTGTTTGGGTTCCATTTTCGACTTAGTGGTGTCAAAACCTAATGGACGGGAAACAATACAATTATGACAGTTATTGTTATTACTTAGATGCAGTTCTGGCACAAAAATAAAACCGATTAGGTTTATGTTTATCGTTATTAGTACAATACAAGGAATACGAGGAATCGCCTCTACTCCAAACCCCCAGTCATTTGAAGACTGTATCCCAGAATCTCCGCTCCTCGAAGACGCGCTGTAATCGAGTCCCGGACTATTTTCCGCTTCGAGAACGACGAAATAATCCAACGTCGGCGCCGACAATAACCTCCCGGTCGTTCTAATGTCGTCCAAAAGTTGATATTGCGGCGAGAACAAGACGTCTTCCTCTCGCGCATCGAACTCCACCGACCGCAGCGCGTTTAAGTCTTTCGCAATCCTTTCATATTTTTGAATTCGCCATCTAAGCGACAAGCGGGTGTCAGACTTCAACTCCGAAGCAGTTGATGTTCCCGTTTCCCCAGCTCTTGCCTGCACTTATCAAAATAGTCCCCTACGTCTTTGGCGACCGTCGTTGCCCGGCGACAAACTCGCGCTTTCATCCCTCGAACGTTCATCTTGGCCGATTCTAACCTGGCGGTCGCTCTTTCGCACTCGACGAACAAAGAACACGCGAGATAGGCCGATGAGGGCTGGAGAGTTTCCTCCCTAGTAGTTTCGCATAGCTGCGGCAACTCGTCAATCAATTGTAGAAGTGAATTCGTTTCATTTTGAACGTCGGGCACCTATTAAGGCCTTTTTTTGTAGATAAAGCTACAGTTTTCTCGAGAGAAAAAAATGTTCACACAAAATGCAGTTCTTCACATTCAACAAGCCTCATATCCCAACCAAAGAAGCCTCTCGGATCATATATGCAGATTTATATATGATATATTATTTATTTATTACTATTATTTATTATTTTTAAATATATAATATTCGACATTTTTCATAATTAATTTTTTTAATAACTTCTTTTTGCATAATAAACAAAATATCACTTCCAGTAACCATTGTTCCATGAGTTATTTATCTTATAGACTTAGAAAAATTATAAAAACAATTTAAAATTTATATTTTTTGATATAATACAATTTTTAAAAAAATATAACAAATTAATTGAAAATTTTCTTTTGCCGGGGAGTGAAGCTTGTTCAATTTGTGACATTGTTTATTAGCAATCTAAGAAAATTAATTTTAGACTATTTTTTCATTTTCCATTTTGCATGAAATCAGGAAGGATATAGCTTAAAAAATCTAACCGACCACACATTAATTGTTAATAATAAATAATAATAATTCTTAGTTGCCTACCTACCATCATTTCCATCGTCCTAAACCTACTATCAAGTCTGATAGGTACCGATTTACTATTTCGAACACAGAAGGTACACTAATGCTAAGATTCATTAGATGTTCGGTGGTTTAAAAATATACGGTACTTACAGGCTTACTATGTTTTTTGAGATGGAAATATAATCACCTAATTAATTTAAAAAAAGTTGGTACCTACCAAAACATTGTTTATGAAGTCCTCGATCGGAAACGTCATTGGTTCGATCAAGTTGTTCTTTGTAACTACACACTTGCTACGCACTAGTTGTCATCACTTGTGATGTGGGATGCAAATCGCAATTGCTCTATTGCCGACTCAATAAGGTGTCGTTAGTTTACCGGACCTAATTGTAATTTAATGGCCAATGTAATGGTTCGCAGAGGGTCGGATTTTAAAGGGGTGGCCACTTTACGCTATCTTGTTGCATCCGAGAATAAAATATTTGTTTCAATTAACCTTAAATTAATATGCACTGAATACGTGGGCATTTTTCAATACTTGGTAGAGATATGAAAAATCAGCGTGATCCTTTTTTTTATTTGATAGTAAATCTTGGGGCTTCAGATGTATTAACAATTTTTTGATACATTTTCCGGTAATCATAAATGCTAAGGGAATGGCCCACACATATTTAGCAAATTTCGATGGTTCATAACTTGCTAGATGGTATCCATTTTTAGTCGGAGACGTACGGAGAGTAGAATGCAATGTGCTAATATTAGTTTTTATGCATTTATCCATTGGACTTTGGTAGCAGCATCCTGTCAGATTTTTGGTCCAATTAAGTTTATCAAGTGCTCAAAGTCGAACTACTCATCCTACAAAAGTTTTTGGAACTCCCGTTATGTGGACGTCACCCGGTTTTCTGACATATGAAGGGTGAAGGGAAAAAACGAGGAATGTCTTGCTTTTCAAGAAATTGAACTATTGGCGTCGTTTAAATGTTATAATACTTGTCTATTGTTTGTCACAGACTGGCAGGGAGAAACTAAAACTGTCCGATAGATATGCGTATTTGAGTATTGAGTTTGATTTGGTAATAATACAATTAAAAAATGTCCTCTGATAGTGATAAGGGTAAAAATGACTTTGATAGTACGAAAAAGAAGAAGAAACCCGGAAGGATGGTTGAAGTTATTTAAAACGACGATTACAGTTTCACGAAGAGCCGCGACGTAACTGATTTGAAAATATAACCAGTCCCGAGAAAAAACAAGTTTTGACGTGTTTTAATAGTTTGGGTTCAAACGACCAGCAAAATGCTTATTTAGTTGGACTAGTCATTCTTATACCAGCTCGTAGAAGAAGACCTCGTCAAGCCGAAAAAGAAGTAAAATTTCACGATGCTTATTTTGCTTATAAAATAAGATATAAGCGTCATGGGGTTGCAAAGGAAATTAGGCGTGTGTTTGTGTGTGTTTTAAAGCGTTCCAGACAATTCACGGTTAAGTAAAGGCAAAATGGAATATCTACAGAAAAACTTAAAAGCTACAGGCACAGAACAGACACATGTTCAGCATTTGACGAATTCCAGTCAAAATTGAAAATACTACATTTTGAAAGAGATGCTTCAGAAATTCGTAAATTAACAATTCAAACGGTCCATCGTTTTAAAAGGACTGCTCGCAAACATTCAAAAATGCGATTGCTTTGGATTGCCAAAAAAATATTTCATTTCCAAATGTGACAACAGTTACGTCTTGCCTACACGCCAATCCATTTTTTATACGTATCCTGAAACAGTTGCAAATGAAGGGCCAAATGAAGTGTTGTCGCTCCTATTTTATATTACTATTAATTTTATGGATAACAAAGTAAAAAATTTGCACATATTTTACGATTCAGCAGGCGGTCAAAATAAGAATTATGTTTCACTTTGTGCATCGTGTAGTACAAAAAAACAAAATTTCTGGAGTCAATTAGAATAACGTTGCAAAGTGCAACAAAAATATCTGACTAGCGAATTTAAAAACCCATATGGAAATGAACAGTGATTGGTTTGAACTTTTAAGGATGTTTTTTTTTAAATTACAGATATGTTAAAAAATCTTCCTTTCCTGTAAAGAAAATTAAACCACTACAACCTACTCGGGAGCATCCAAGGCTTATCAAAGCCATTACTACAGTAAAATCCAAAAGAACTTTAGCAGTCAGAAATGAATTACCCGAAGGGGAGTTCTAACTTCCACCACCTACATAAGTTCACACCTGTGGACGGTTTGTCATACTCGCAAGCTAAAACGTTGCGTGATTCATTTTTAGTCTTTCTGTAAGTTCGTGGAACCAATGGCCCACTATTGTGAGGTTCGGACATCCCCTGTTTTTTTCGTTTTTTTTTTCTCTGCATTTAAGAATATTTTAAAGATTTTTCTGTTGTCTAAAGATTTTATTAAAATAGGTTCGCGTGCTTGGTAGAATGCACTTTAATTTCAGTAATTAAACATATATACTGTTTCACTCAAAATAAAGATAATGTGACATTCCTTGCTTTTTTCCTTCACCCTTCATGTAACATATCAAATAGCAATGTTATATAACATGTGTGCTCTCCATGCGGTGCAATGTCCACCGTTAATAATTGTATAAACAAGAAGACAATGTATAGGGCAGAGGAACACTTCTTTATCGGTGTGAGTTGAAGGTTGTTTTATGAGCCGTTCGGAACCCAGCAATACGTGCTTTTATGGACTCGCAATCGCTATAAATTAGGTTACCGTAAATATTGACCCTCGTCGCATATAGAATGCGGATAATCAAGCAATGCGATGAACGAAAGCAAAAAAAAAGAATTTCCAAGGCGGGCATTTAATTTTCCACGAACTTTTCGATTGACCTTCCAATGGCGAAGATTGGAGTAATTAAATAACAGGCAATTTTACGTAAGCGGTTGACCCAAAGATTGTCGAACCTTATATTCAATCATCGTGTCGTTGCCAATTTTTCCTAACGTGCATGTGGGGTTTTATTGGAGAAATAGAACATCAAGTGCATATTCTCTTTCTTACGAATGTGATTCCCCTGATAATCAGCAAATATAAATATCAATCCATAAATCTTTTTAACGCGGAATGGATGTGCTTATATTTGCCGACAGCAAAGTAAAGCAATTTATTGATTTTAGGCACCGCTGAGAACTTGTGAGGTGAAATTAGTACTGCTAATAAATAATATTTGTTGTACCCTTAAGTTCATGAAAACACTTCGAGTTAAAAGAATCCAAATGAATTTTAAGTTCAATATAATAATAATTACTTAAACGCAAGCGGTCATTATAGCAAATAAACATATTTTGCAATTTGAATTACTTTTAATTATTTTGTAATTTTGTAACTGTAATCTTTTTTTAAAAACCATCCTGAAAGTGACCATAGACCATAAAATCCTAGTTGGCATGAAAATGACGTTAGAGTCCGTGAGTGACTTAAAAAGTTTACCGAACGTGTTGCATACTATACTTTTTCTACGACCGTTAGTTTTTGGGTACATTTCCGCAAAACACGAATACATTCACTGACATGACCGTCTGAATTAACAAACGTCAAAATTCAAAGAGTGGGAAATATCTCCGAAAATATCCGATTGCTCTCAAATCCGTGCGGTAAAATATCGGAAATGTCCGAAGTGACTCGGATTCATGGGAACCGAAACTGACATGGTAAAATGACGCTTCCCACACCCTAGATCGGTGGGTAATTAGGTATTTTAGGGACGGGAGTAGAAAAATGTTATTTTACGACTTCAATCTCGTTACCTACGGCTGCAAGTCACTTCAGACATTTTCGGGATATTACCTATGACTTTGGAAGTTTGTTTTCGGCGATATTTACTAACGACTTGAATTTTGACGTTTGTCGTGCTGTTTTGCAAAAATGTACCTACATAGATACCTTCCGGGATGTTTCGATTTAATGTAAGTCCCCTTTGAAATTGTTTTCCATTGTAACGAAACAAATAGATATCTTGACATGTTATGGCTAAAGTTTAAACACGGCAATTCGCTTTCTAAAATGAAACTTGAAGATGAACACAGAAGCAACGTTCGATCTACTACCATACCAAATTTTAGAAAAGTGATGTCTGCAAAAGAAAGCAATAAACATTTGTAAATATATAAAGATCTCTATGGATGTATTAGTTAAAATGGATATCCATAATTTCCATTCAAAGTTGTTGAAAGCTCCATTGAGGATTCTGATCAGAATAAGATTGATATAGCTTACAATTAACAATAATTTCAGATTGTTATAAAGTTTTAAAAATTGTTAATAAAATATCATAAAAATATAATAATTTGTAGCATCTAATCCGTATTGAAAGTGCTTTTGCCGGATTCGCAAGCCTCTGGTTCGTTCTGGAACTTGCCTACTCGTCCAGTAAAATGGTTCTTTCGGGAGTTACTACGTGAAATACTACATCATGAATTTTCTCTCAGGTATTGCCACTCGAGTTGGGGAATAATTGAAATGAAATGTCACGTATACTAACGCCAGCTACTTTGGCGACGCAAACAGCTAATTTGTAAAGGCATTTTTCGTTTTCCAGGTACCGGCATATCTAGCAGGACTCAACGAGGCGGAAAATTAGGAAAAAACCACCATCTACAACCACGAGTTCTCATCCGATCTAAGCTTCCTTCGTTGTCCACCGAACAATAGAAATGTATTTTGTACTGTCTCTGCTACTTTATCAAGAAACAGAAATAAATTGCTATCTTAAAAACGTCCTTAAATTTATCGATTTATTCACAAACGTAATACTCAAACCCGGAAACGTAGCACATATTAAAAACAAAAATGAAAAAAATCTTTTTATAATAATTTCTGGCACTACTTTAAAGAGGAGCAAATAATTTTTGAACAAAACTAAACCCCAAAAACTTCTGTTTGAATCCAAACTAACCCAAACCCATTTACATAAGTATAGCAAAAAATAATTTTAGTTAGTTAATTTTTTTTGAAATTTTGGAGTCATTCACAGCTTGCCCCTTAGGGGATAAATCATTTTTTTTTTTACAATAATACCAAATTACTAAGTTTTTGTCAAGGCTGTTGTGCGGAAAATATTAGGTAACTTACAGACCATAGAATATTTTTACAAAAACTTCGACAATTATCTTTAATAAAGTGCAAGGTAGCGCGGAAATGTAATACATTTGATGTATTGATCTGAGAGGTACTTAATATCCAGGATTATTTACTCTGATTAATTTAATTAAAATTAATAAAAATTCCAGACAATTATATTATAATATATAATTTTTGCAGTAATTTAATTCCACACATATTTAATAAGTCACACAAATTTGCTACGACTATAGATCGGTGCGATTTGCAATTGCACAGTCGGTCATAAAATTGAGAGTCATTAAATTAGAGAGATAGCAAAACCCACCCATTTACCTGCCAGTGTTCTACCCTTGTCTATTACGCTCCGACAGAGATAGCTCCAATTACTGGATTATTATAGCAGTTGCCAGTAAGAAATAGGGTCGTATTTTTGAAAAGCTGCTCGGCATGTAGTAAAATGGATATTTATTTATTAACAAATTAGCAGTTTCTTCCACATATTCCTGTTATTGACTTTACTTTATCTAAAAACCTGATCACCTGACTTGTAATATACAAGAGCAATGTCTGATGCATTCTTCGTCTAGTTCTAATATCTTCGATGTGGCTAATGGATCGGCAAAAAATCTTCTGATATCATTACCTGTTCCACTTCCACCTGCTTTTACTTTATCGATAATCAAACCCATTTCGGTTCTAAATTTAAGCTGAATATTTTTCTTTCCCTCTTTTACGCTGCCCTTTTCCTCTTGCGAGCTAGCCTGCCTTTTTTGATATCTAGTCTGTAAGCCACATGTAAAAAATATTCCACACACCACGCATATAGAGCCAATAATCCATAATCAAGAGCCTCGTTGTTAATTGGTCTAGTTTTTATATGTTGTATATTGTTCATTATTTTAGGTTTTGCTTCACAGATGTTGCAGGCTTGACTTGAAGATATCTCTGTCATAATACTACAGATATACGGATAAAATTTGACCGTTGTTATTCATCTCTGTAGGTTTTAGTTCATCAATTTCTTTTTTACAGAGGCTACTTTTTATATTGTGAAAGCAGGAGTTTCTTTCTGAAAATAAAAGTGAAGTGGCCTACAATACCTGGTTGACGATGGTTTAGGGTTCTGCCAATAAATTATTTTTTGGGTCGGGTCGATTTTTGAGTAAGATAATAATTGCAAAGGTACAAGTAAAGTTAAAAAAATATTTGAATCCGAAGCATTTTCGATTTCAATAAACTGCTTGTATTCTCTGTGTGCTACCGTCACAATTTTTTTTGTATGTATACACTTTAGGTGTGTATGGTATAATTGGCTTTGATTTCTGTATATTCCAATTGCTTATTATTTTTGAGGTAGGAGAGGTTTCGAGACTTTCTTTAAGCAGTTTGACTCTTTTTCCGTCTTTTTTTAAACTTAGCTTTGTTCCCCAAATTAACTGATTTTGCTAGCAACTTGTTGCTAATTGCTTAATTTTTCATCTTCCAGTTGTGTCACTACACGAGGAAAATGAGTTTTTGGGTCTTCCCAGCGAATTTATTGGCGTTTGCATATTATCCATTTGCGGCAATATAAGAACAGTACTATTTAATGTTATGTTTTGTGTTAAAAGCCTTCTCTTCTTAAGATTACTTTTTTTCCACCTTTTGTATAGCTGGTCGCAAATTTCATTAATTTGTTTTTTTGCAGACTCTTCAAACTTGGCGCTTTTGATATTCGTCATTATCATTTAAGATCTCGAGGCATACTTGCAGATTTTTATCTTTATGATTACCGTCTTCATCAATCTAGAAACTAAACACATCTATTCCTTTAAGATCCATGTTTTACTTATTACTTATTACTCTGTAACAAAAGAATTCAGTTAGCAGTGAAGTAAATTCTATTCTATTTTAATATTTTTATATACAACGTTTAATTAGAAGACACCTCATTAAAAGACAGTTCGTTGTTAGAAGAAAAAACTAATAATTATTAATCAAAAATATAGAAATAATTAGAGGGTCAACTTTCCGGATTGATATTCCAAAAATTAATTATTTTTTTCTATGGATTTTCTATGTCAAGTAGTGAAGTAAATTCTATTCTCTTTTAATATTTTTATATACAACATTTAATTAGAAGACACCTAATTAAAAGATAGTTCGTTGTTAGCAAAAAAAATAATAATTATTAATAAAAAATATAGGAATAATTGGAGGGTTAACTTTCCGGGTTGATATTAAAAAATTAATTATTCTTTTATATCGACTATTATTATTTTTAAAGGAATAGGTATTTTTCTGAAAAGTTTTAAGCAATCAAAATCGATTTTTTCGTCCGATGGCTATGGCAACGCATGTATTTTACCGGAAATTTATCTACCTTGCCTGCAAGATTAACAAGTGCAAATTTCTTTTGCTTGACATCTACAGAGAACGGCTAAAACATGGAACAAATTCATTAAAAAATCAGCTATTGGATTAAAAAAAAATCTCTAAATTGAAAATATACAGGGTAGGCCACAAGTAGTTGTCGATACCAAGTTTCTTTTTTTTTAATGGAACACCATTACGTATCAAATTTATAATCATAATTTATGTACTTTTTATGATCAAAAGAATAAAAAGTAGAAATTACATTTCTCAGTTTCTCAGTTAAGAAAGTGAATATGGCGCATCTAAATGAAACCCGGAGAATTAAAATTTTAATTTCTATTGGAAATGGAAACAAAACGAGAACTCCAGAAGAAGTTTGTAATTTTTTTAACGCAAAATATCGAGAAAGACGTATTACAAGATGCACAGTGAGTAAAATTGAGGGAAATTTTAACATTTTATTAGAAGTTGAGCTTTAAATAAGGCATGTTAGCCAAAATATCATCATATCAATATGCGCAACTTAAATACCTTTTTTCGACGACAAATAATACTGCTTAGCCTGCGTTTTGATAAATGGAACGGCAAATAAACAAAATTATAGGTATTAAAGTACGAATAATCCCTGATGGATGAGAGAAAATCATACAAAACATCCACAAAAATAAATGTTTGGGGCTGGATTTTGAATAACAAAATTATCTTACTGTAGCCCAATATTTACATTTTTTTCAAAATGACTTAATTTCTACTCTCGGAGTTTCTTTCTAACCAAATAGACAAATTTGGTTTCAACAGGATGCTGCTCCGCCCTATTTTGTTCGACAAGTGCGTGAATGTTTAAATACGGAATTTCCCCGGACAGTACAAGGGGATTAATAGAATGGCCTGCAAAACCCCCAAATATTACTCCACAGGATTTTCTTCTCTGGGAATATTTGAAATCAAAAGCCACAAAATTTAGCTAATTTAAAATTTAGAATTAGATACGTGAGTTGCACTAGTCCGGATCACAGGGGAGTTCGACACCGCAGCTACAGACGAGTTTTTTCTGGCCATTTACCCGGTGAGATTGTCAACAAAATATTTGGACAACATGACAATAGCAATTAATTACGAAAATTCCCGAATTATCAAAAACTAAAGAGGAAAAATAAGACAAAAACAATTCCGATTGCTAATTAAAATTCTGCTCATAAAAAATAATTTATAGGATGTGCTACATGAATAATACAAGAAATTGGACGAAGAATTGGAAAATGGATAAAAAAAATAGTGTTCTATTTTTAAAAGTAGCATCTACTTTTTGACTCACCCTGTATATTTTCTATTTAATGCAAAAAATACGCAAGAAAAAATTATGATCGATTTGTGCCAGCATTTTTCTTGAAATTGAGTTTTAAATGAATTTATAATGTCCCCCTCCCTTAATTATTTTGTTTAACTTTTGGGGAAAAAAACGTAAAATAAAGAAGTTGTTCAAAAAATAGCAAGCTATTTGCAAGACATGTTTTTATATCGGAGGTGGCTGTGAAGAAGGTCGTCACAAAATGCAAAATGCTTGCTTTTTACAAAACTTCAAAGCTTGACTGAAAACTATTTTGGCTTCTTCAGAGCTTGACTGAAAACTATTTTGAAGCCAACAGGATGATTGGCGAAACGTCAACTATTTCGACTAAGCAAAAACCGACGTAGGAGGAATCCGGAAGTTTTGTAAAAAGCATTACAGTAGCCTGTGGAAGTTTCTTTGGAAAATACGAAAAATGCTTGTTTATAACGGACAGTGACAGTTGCCAGTTACAGATTTAGCAAAACTTACTGCCTTATTTTGAAAGACAAAAACAATTTTAATTGAAAATGTTTGTTAAAGCAAATAAGAGGGCTAAGATGGCTCGAAGTAATTAACCCCCGAATGCAGACAAGAAAACCTTTCATCGAATCTATGAAAAATGCCAACAAACATACAGCCTAGCCAGAAATAAGATAATATTGGAAAGAGATGAAGATAGTGATTTAAAGACTTTACTAAAAGTTGAAGAAATACAAAATATTCCCATAAGAAAAATATAGAAGTCTGAAAGCAGGATACAAGGCATTCAAAATTAGGTTTACCACAAAATTAACGCCTAGACATAGAGAAAAAAGGGTGTAGTTTTGAAAAACAGAGTTGGAAAAAATTTACGGAAATTACAAAATGTATGTTTAAAAAATGGTTTTTGGACCGACAAGTCATCGTTTTAAACCAGTGGTATGATAAATCGGAAGAACGGCAGACAATTGTCCACAGTAAATCCTT